AGATAGGGATGGGAGTTTGAAAACACTGCATGTAGCTTTTACAATGTGACTAATAATAATGACGAACTTGGAGTAGAATCCTTGTCAACTGCCATCATTAAAGGGACACTCTAGTCACCAGAACAATTAAAGCTTGATGTAGTTCTTCTGGTGTCTATAATCTGTCCCTGTGGGCTTTTAACAGAGAGGAAAAAAGTATTTGATCCCCTGCTGATTTTGAAGGTTTGCCCACTGACAAAGAAATGATCAGTCTATAATTTTAATAGTTATTTGTATTTTAACAGTGAGAGACAGAATAACAAAACAAAAACCCAGAAAAACGCATATCAAAAAAGTATATATATTTATATATATAGATATATATAAATATATATATATATATATAAATTGATTTGCATGTCAATTAGTCCAATTTTTTTGAATACAAAAAGTTAAATTAAATTGTGGTATGATGCTAAATAAAAAAGGGGAGCAGCTATATAACCTGTTAATCATTCACTACATACTCACAAGAATACATACAACTATTTATAAATATAAAAATACAAAAAGTTAAAGTGCACACCAAGTGAAACAATAAATAATATATATCACCCCTTTCTTGTTATGAGTAATTCAAGTGTTCAACTGGAAATCTAAGGAAATCTAAAATTAATAAGGGAGAAAATTTCTCATAGTGTAGTATGATTTACAGTTTTTAGTGTACACACACATACTGGCCAGCAATATCTGCTCTCTTTGATAGTAGTGGGTTAGCAGTATTACAATCGGCTATCAATTTGTGGATGTGGTAAGTATCCCCTTCAATAATTTTATTCTGAATTTCCCTCATGTTGATTATGAGGTGGGGCACAGACATTGGTGGTTAAAATCAAGTATACTAAATTTATTAAAAGTATATTAAAATCTTACATGTATGCTTTAAACCATCCACATAAGCACAATGTGTTTCGACCCGAGTCTTTTTCAAGGTGCATAACAGTGAATAAGAACTATTTTCCTTTTTCCAAAGTCTCTTTTCTTCCAATTTCATGTGGTTTTGGCTAATTTCCAATTATATTGCTTGATTTTGCGAATATCCAATTGCATCATTTGGTTTGGGGAATCTCCAATCGTGTCCTTCGATTTGGGAGTATAAACAATGAGGCTCGATACTCGCCACTTGCGAATAGACTTCCCCAAGTGGTTGTGACACTTCTTCAGTGAGGGGCAATATATATAATTATTCATAATAATTTAATTCTAAGTGTATTTTGATATCTATCTATAAAATACAATTAGAATGTAATTATACTTAAGTACATCATTTTTATCTATTTTTCATTTTGTATGTATATATATATATATATTTATATATAATTTTATATATATAATTTTATCAAAAATAGTATGAATTAAATTCTATATAAATAGGCATCTATAATTATTTTTAAACTTTTTTTCCAGCTTGCGGGATCTGTTTGACAACCCAGGCAGTCTCCCTGTAGGCAGTTTAGCTCACTGCTGATCTGGTCATATGATCACGATGTCCAGAAGGGCCAGATTGTCTGCAGGGGAACTGTCTGGAATGTCATACAATCTGGTTGATTGGGATCGCTGGGCAAGGTATGTATCCTGGGCCAAGGGGGCGAGGGGGAGGGGGCTTGCAAACCACTATGGTGCACTATACTGCCATAATGGTGTTTAAGCCCACTGTTTGCAGGATGGCACAGCTGTCTGGCTTTAAGGGTTTAAAGGTTAATCCCTGTGTTCTTGAGGTAATTTTTATCATGCAAAAGTTATAGTGATATCAAGGATCGTAGGAAAATCGTAGGAAAAAATAATATACCTAATGTGTTTCATGTATTAAAGGCATTCTGTAAGACCTATAAGTACATGTGTAGATCATTGGACCCTAAATTTCTGGTTTACAAGTATTTCATTTTTAAGAGATTTGTTTATTTTAAATATTGTTTGTAGAAAGAAAACAGGAAAGACTATAGAGACTAACTGTTGGTTTTCATGTGACAGTTGTCCTTTAACCCCTTAGCGACCGAGGACGGTTCAGGACCGTCATCGGCATTTTTGCGTTGCAGACCGATGACGGTCCTGAACCGTCCTAACGGTCTCCGTTACTTACCTGATCGCCGTCGTTCCCCTGGCGGCGATCAGCATTGCTCCGGTTGTGGGGAGACTGCCTGCAGCCCAGACAGTCTCCTCACACTGAATTAGGACCCCTGTGGCCATGTGATCGCTTAACACAGCGATCACATGGTCACAATAGGTGTCCATGTGTCTGCCTGCAGGGGGACTGTCTGTACTGACAGGCAGTCTCCCTGCTAGTGTAAAATCAGGAAAAAAAATAAAGTTAATGTTAATTAAAAATAAAAATATTTATGTGTATATAAATATGATATATAGACATATATTATATGTATATAATATATGTCTATATATCATATATCTATATAATATATGTATATAATATATGTCTATATATCATATATATAATGTCATATTAAGTGTATTTTTATATTAATATGTACTTATAGTAATATAAAAATACACTTATAATTAAATTACACACGTATATATATAATATATATAATAACTATATATATTGTATATATATATTATTATAAAATATAAATAATAAGTAATTTAAATTAAATAAAAAAAATTTAAAATAATAATAAAAAAAAAAAAAATTATATATCTATATGAAATTTTATTCTAACTGTATTTTAAAATTAATATATATATATTTATATCAAAATACACTTAGAATGAATTTGTATATATATCTATGTATATAAAAATAAATAAAAATAATAAGAAATATACATATGTCCATATACAAAATTACATAAATAATTATATAAATATACACGTAGACTTCAAATATATAAATATGCATATATATTTAAATTCTACGTGCGTATTTATGTAATAGTTTTACATAATTCAGTAATTTTATTGATTGCAATTTAAAGGACCTGCCTGCCAACCCAGGCCGAAATTCCAGAGAATTGAATTTGCTAGCACTGTATTTTACCCTGTAACGTTCTACGACACCCTAAAACCTGTACATGGGGGGTACTGTTTTACTCGGGAGACTTCGCTGAACACAAATATTAGTGATTCAAAACAGTAAAACATATCACAGCGATGATATTGTCAGTGAAAGTGACTTTTTTTGCATTTTTCACACACAAACAGCACTTTTACTGATGATATAATTGTTGTGATACGTTTTCCAGTTTTTAAACACTAATATTTGTGTTCAGCAAAGTCTCCTGAGTAAAACAGTACCCCCCATGTACAGGTTTTATAGTATTTTTGAAAGTTACAAGGTCAAATATATGGGTCAAATATTTTTACATTGAAAATGGCCAGGTTGGTTACGTTGCCTTTGAGAGCATATGGTAGCCCAGGAATGAGAATTACCCCCATGATGGCATACCATTTGCAAAAGAAGACAACCCAAGGTATTGCAAATGGGGTATGTCCAGTCTTTTTTAGTAACCACTTGGTCACAAACACTGGCCAAAATTAGCGTTCAATTTAGTTTTTTTACTTTTTTCACACACAAACAAATATGAATGCTTACTTTGGCCAGTGTTTTCGACTAAGTGGCTACTAAAAAAGACTGGACATACCCCATATTGAATACCCTGGGTTGTCTACTTTAAAAAAAATATGTACATGTGGGGTGTTATTCAGAGATTTATGACAGATAATAGTGTTACAATGTCACTATTGATAAATTTAAAAAATTTATGTTTTGAAACCGCAATATTCTACTTGTACCTATAGCCCTATAACATGCAAGCAAAAAAGCATGTAAACATGGGGTATTTTTAAACTCAGGACAAAATTTTGAATCTATTTAGCAGTTTTTTTAATTCGCTTTTGTAGATGAGTAAAAGATTTTTCAAGTAAAAGTCAAAAAACATGTATTTTTTTCAATTTTTCATCATTTTTAAAAAAATTTTAAATTAAAATACATGAGATTATATAAATAATGGTATGTAAAGAAAGCCCCTTTTGTCCTGAAAAAAACAATATCTAATTTGTATGGGAACAGTAAATGAGAGAGCGGAAAATTCCAGCCAAACACAAACACCACAAAAGTGTAAAAATATGCCTGGTCGCAAATGTACAACATCACAAAAACAGTCCAGTCCTTAAGGGGTTAAGACAGAAGTGTCTGCTTTTCAATAAAAAAAAAATATTATAAATACAACAATCATCATTCCCAAATACTACTCATTCACAAATACAATGTATGCCAGAATATACACATCCATCATGTAGCACTACATGTTTCCACTTTGCAGTTCTGAGTATAAAACCTTTATATGTACCCAAATGCAATGCAAGCCCCAGGAGCCTGGATAAAAAAACAGCATGCATACTTTACATAGTTTTGTGCAGGATGAACATGCACAAAATTAGTCAGCAAGTTGCCTTTATTATCTTGTTGAGTAGCTTCTCATATTCCATTTAATGAGAAAAACTATTAATAACTGCTGAACTGCCTGTGGAATATGTGTTAGACATGTGCAATTAATTTCGTTCCAAATATAAACTCGAACAAATTTCGGGAATTTGGACATTCGGATGCTTACGAATGTCTGAAGTTCCGAAGTGCCGACGTTTGTGAGTTCGGAAGTGCCAAACCAAACTGAAGTACCGAAGTTCAGTAGTTCGGTAGTGCCGAACCGAACTGAAATTCCAAATTGCCGAAGTTCAGAATTGCCGAAAGTTCTGAAGTTCAGTAGTTCGGAAGTGCCGAAGTTCCAAAGTGCTTCGGAATTCCGGAAAAGTGGCAAAACAAGAGAGAGGAATTACGTGACAGGAATCTTGACCAATAAGCTAATTCCCTTTGTGCAATGCTTGCTTGCCCAATCCGGTTTCACTATTCCCTGTCCAATGAAATTAGCAAATTTTTGTGATTGATGTTAGAGGACAGACAATTAATGGTGATTTTGTCACTGACACTTGTCCAATGAAGGCTGTCAGGGTGTTTGCTTGCATTCACTCACCAGAACTTGGCTGAGATGTGCTTGGAGCCGGTCCCCCACCAGATGAGGTTGACGGACCTTGGAAAAAAAAAAGGAAAGCAAAAGGTAAGTTCACACTTGTAATAGTGAAGTATTGTGAGCTTCAAAACAACAATGTCATCATTATAATGTAATGATGAAATTCATTTTACTCACTAACTGAGAGTCTGATTGCAAGCTTTTAAGACCAAGTTGCATGCATTAAGAGGCTAAAACAAAATTCATAATAACAAATCAGATTTAACAGCTTTGAGAGAGCGAGAGGGAAAAAAAGGGGCGGGGGGTATGAAAGTGTATTAACAGAAATCTGTTTGGAGAATATTTCTGTCAACTGTGGACACATTATACAGGATGTGAAGCTTTTGATACTTTGTTGGGGATCGTTCCGCACCCAGAGGGAGAGTAAAATATAGGAGGTCAAGCTAACATGCCTGTTTAAGGACAGTGAATTTAAGAGCGACAGTGAATTTAATTCACAATATAACTTCACTAATTAATAATCTGTCTACAAGCCCTGGATTACTGTAGTGAATTTATTTCAAATGGCAAATATTTGACACCTTCATGTATCTGGCATGTGTCTAATTGTTTTATTGCCCCCCTAACCATGGAGTGGAGTGATCAGGGATGCTCTGACCAAACTGATTTTATCTGTTGGATCTCTGTAGAACTGGCTAATTTACTTCTGAGAACATTCTTTAATACTCTGTGTCTTTCATGCCACCCCCCCCCCCCTTTTTTTTTCTCTCTCAAAGCTGTTAACTCTGATTTGTTATTAGGAATTGTGTTTTAGTGTAATAATTTTAACTCTACTTGTTTCTTGTTTTTCCACAGCTAACACGGTACTACTGTTTTAACTATTTTACTCACCAGCTCGCTGCTGCAAAGCTTGCTCTTCCGTATTCGCAGCACCAAGTCTGGATACAGCCTCTGAAAGTAGCCCGTCTTTGAGCCGAGTCTACCAATCACTGATTCCCACTGCGACTGCAATGACATTTTCCTTTTCACCGCCGCCTTGCAATCATAGTACCTGTAAAATACAGCATTAGTTATTAAGTACATAAGAAATTGACAGAAAATTAACAATGAGAACATCTTATTAAATGATGGCTTACTTCCACTATCAGGTTAACCTCCACAATGACTGGGGAGCATAAGATTTTTTTTTTCAATTTGACGATTTTTATTGAGTTTTTGTTGTCAAGGGATACAGAAGATAAAAAGGGGGGTAGGGGGAAAGTTCACATTGGTGTACAATAATATCAACACATTTGACATTCCATGACATTTACACTGGCACTTATGCTCCTCCACTTATATATATATATATATATATATTTTTTTTTTTTCCTTGTTCTTTGGCCCTTATCCCACAGGGACTCGATTCCCCGCTTGCAATCAGGAGGGAGGGATGCAGGAGGGGGCAAGGACAAAGGGACCTGTGTAAGGGACTCGGAAAAGCCTTTGGCAAGCGACATTCCATGCTATAGTTCTTGCCATTTTGTGACAACCAATGCTTATTCCTCCCACCACCCCAGCCGTGACAAGGCCCTCCCATTCTTAGGCCTATCTTCATCTTGTTGTCTGTTTCCCTTGTTGCTACTCCGTATGGGCTCTTTTGGGTCTGTACATGGTGTCTGTTACAGGCCTGTCTAGCGCCCCTTGTAGTCAACTTTAAACCGGTACCAACTATAACTATATACATGTGGGTTTCTATTTGCACCGTTCCATGTGGCTTGGCCCCTGTTAGAGCCTATTTTGTTCTATGACCTACTGGGTTGTCCCTCTCCGAGAACTTTTTTTTTTTTTTCTCTCTTTCTTTTCCTCCCTCTCTATGTGATTTGCTCCCCTTCCTTTTCCATGCGCATTGTCCAGTTCGCATATGCCAGATTAGCATATTTGTTTGTAGGGTTTTGTCTGTTCAGTCCCCGTTCATAGAGCAGATTAGTGGTTATCTGCCTGATTAGAGCCTCCCTAGTGGGTGCTTGAGTCTGTTTGCATGCCCTGGCTATTAATGTGTTTGCTGCAATTAAGATGTGAAATAGAATGCGGGAATCTGTTTTGTTAAGCGTGTCTAGTCCCATGAGCAGAAGTCCGCTCTCTGGTGTTATGGTGAACTCCCTGTCCAGCGCTAGATTTGTGATTGTCTCCACTTCCTCCCAGTATTTGGTATAATGGGGCATTCCCACGATACATGGTACATCGTACCCTTGCTTTCCTGACATCTCCAACAAGCCCCTGAGGCATTTGGATAAATTTGTGCCAATCTCTCCGGCACCATGTACCAGCGATATTGGATTTTGCGCATCTGCTCTAAGTGAGCGGCGCAGTTCGTTCTTTTTTTTGTGTGCTAAGAATGCCTTCCCCCATTGGTGGTCAGTGAAGGTCGTTCCTATATCTCTCTGCCACGCTGCCTTAATCCCCTCTAAGGGGTCTTCTTGTGTTTGGATCAACATGTTATAGAGGGTAGATAGTAGCCTTTTGGGCTGTTTGGTATCTGTGCACAGTTGTTCGATATGTTTTGCAATGGGCGGTACCGTACTAATTATGGATCCTTGAAGCATGGATTTCAGCTGGAGATATTGGAAAATGGTGTTGTGTGGTAGGTTGTATTTGCGTTGTATGTCTGGAAAGTCTAACAATCTGCCATTGTCATATAGGTTGCCCACCCTGGTGCATCCCTGTCTTATCCAAGGGCGGTAATCGAAGGCCTTGTTTGCTAGGTGTAAGCAGTATAGGGGGGCTGCCAGCGCCCACCCCTTGTTCTGCCCCCATTGCTTCCTAGAGATGTCCCATATGTTAAGTAGGAGTCGTATCGTGGGCGGCACTACCTGGTGTACCTCTCTCTGTTCTCGGGGTACCCAGAACAGATAGCTCAGGCCCCGTGGGCAAGCCCAATAGGTCTCCATTTCCACCCACTGCGGTGTGTCCTCTTTAGCGTGTGTTTGTATGACAGTAGCTAGGATAGCCGCTCTGTAATATTGCTTAACGTCTGGCATTCCCAAACCCTGTTCGCTTGTGGTCTGCACAGCACTTTAGCTGCCACCCTTACTTTGCGGTGTGCCCATATGAAACCTGTGAAAAGCTTTTGGAGTTTTCCTAGGTAGGTTCTGGGTATGTGTATTTGTAAGGTTCTTATTAAGTATTGGAATTTTGGTAACACTATCATCTTCACCGTGGCCATCCTACCCAGCCACGACAGGAACTTCCCCTCCCATTCTTTCAGTGTGTTTGCTATACCTCTCAGTAGTGGGTCATAATTTGCCATAAGCAAGTCTGTCGGATTTTTTTGTGAGTTTAATCCCAAGAAATGTGATGTGGTCCCGTCTCCAGTCCAGTGAAAATGAGTTTTGTAGAAGGTCCATTATATCTGCCGGGATTTCCACCCCCATGGCTTGTGTTTTTGTAACATTGAGCTTATAGTATGAATGTTGTCCATATGTGGTGATCTCTTTCAGTAGGTTGGGGAGGGAAATCTGCGGCTGAGTAAGTGTCAGTAGGACGTCATCCCAAATAGGCTGGTGGTATATTCGCGTGTATTGATCGTGACGCCGTGTATATTTGGGTTGTCCCTTATTTTCATCGCTGGGGGTTCCAGGGCAAGGACATACAACAGCGGCGATAAGGGGCATCCCTGTCTGGTACCATTTGATAACGTTATTGGTTCCGAGAGGAACCCTGAGTTTAGCACCTGAGCTCATGGGGAGCTATACAGGGCTTCCACTACAGCTATGGACCCCTCTGGTATATCAAATTTTTGCAGTACTGCATGCAGGAATCCCCAATGTAGGCTATCGAAGGCCTTTTCTGCGTCTAAGGAGACCAACAGTCCCCCTTGTGTCTTTCTGCGGAGATGGTGTACTTTGTTTAGCACTTTCCTCGTGTTATCTGATCCTTGCCTCCCTTTAACAAATCCTACCTGATCATTCTGGATAATGTTCGGCAAGATTGCTCCTAAGCGGAGTGCGTAAGTTTTGGCCAGGATTTTCGCGTCTGTGTTGAGAAGAGATATAGGCCTAAAGTTTTGCGGTACTGTGGGTGGTTTACCTGGTTTGGTAAATGTGACGATGTGTGCTGTTAACATTTCTGGGGGCAAGGTTTTGTGGAGAGTGGCTTGTGTATAGGCTTTGACTAGGTATGGTGCTAAAATGCCACTGAACTTTTTGTAGTATGTGTTGTCTAACCCATCTGGTCCCGGTGCTTTGCCTGACGGGAGGGTCTTTATTACAGCTAGAAGTTCCTCTTCACATAGTGGTTTTGTAAGTTCTAATTGTTGTTGGGTCGTAAGTGGGGGCAAGTGCGTGTCTCTCAGATATGCCTGTATGTCTCTCTCTGTTGGTTGTGGGGCCGCTGGGTCTTGGTGTAGGTTATAGAGTTTGGTATAGTAGCCCGCAAACTCATCGCTTATGGCCTTTGGGGTAATGAGTTTTGCTCCCGTTGGTGCAGTGAGGTACGTTATCTTTTGCGCTGCCTGTTTCTCCCGAAGCCTATTCGCTAGTAATTTACTTGCCTTGTTACCTTGGGCATATGGATTGATTTTCAATTGTTTGAGGTTGTGCTCCTTTTGTGCCAAGGCCTGCGTGTGCAGACTCCTGGTGAGTTGGAGTATGCATCTGCGTTTGTCGTCTGTGGGGGAGAGTTGGTTTTGTAGTGTTATGTCGTGCAGTTCTTTTTGTAGTTCCAGTGTTTGCTTTTGGGCGTTCTTTTTGAGGTATGAGGCACTTCTAATTAAAAGCCCTCTCGCCACCGACTTGTGGGCCATCCAGACCGTGGTGGATGAGACGTCTGATGTCTCATTTTCTACAAAGTAATGCTGCAGTTGTGTAGATAGGTCGGCCACGAATTGTGGGTCATGGAGGAGAGAATCGTTGATTCTCCAAGGGCTCCGATGTTTAAAATCATAGAGGTCTTTCATCTCCAGGAGCACTGGAGCATGATCTGACCATGTGATTTGTGCTATAGTACATGCTAGGATTTGGTCGAGGTGGGAGCCTTGGAGGAGATACCCATCTATTCTAGAGTAGGAGTTGTGATCGTGTGAGAAATATGTGAATGCTTTTTCCGTGGGGTGCGTGATTCTCCATGTGTCGTAGAAATGGTACTTATGTATTAGGGTCTGGAGGGCTTTGCTTTGTCGTCTAAGGGTTTGGTATCTATTACTAGCACTTTTTAGGGTTGTGTCTATGGTCGTGTCGAAGATGTAGTTGAAATCGCCACAGATTAGTGTTATGCCTTGTTGTATTGGTGTCAGGATTGTAAGTATCTTGTGTAGGAAGTTTCTTTGATTTTGGTTGGGCGCATATATGTTTGCAATTGTGTACGTCATGTCGTTTATCGTTCCCACTATCACCACATATCTGCCCATTGGGTCTAGGTGTTGCGATTTTAGGGAGATGGAGACATTTTTGCTGAGCAGAATAGATGTTCCTTTTGCTTTAGTTGGGGAAGTAGAGTGGAATTGGTGTGGATAGTCTACCTCCATAATTTTTGGATGGTCATTTGTACGGAAATGTGTCTCCTGTAGGCAGGCCACTTCTACTTGGTGTTTCCTAAGTTCTCGGTTTAATAAGTGTCTTTTTGCTGGGATATTCAATCCCCTTACATTATGTGTGTATATCCTCATATAGGGTCTAACATAAAGGGTTGTGCTGTGTATTGAGAGTGTTCTTTTGTTGCGGGGTACCTCGCTCCTCCCAGCGCTATCCAGCAGAGTAGGCCTTCCCCTGAGGACTGTGACAACCTCTCACAGGTATTCCGGTGAGAGTTGGGTCATATTCCTTCACTTCCTGTATAAAAGGTGCGTGTTTTGTGCTTATAAAAGGTGGAATCCCCCACTAGGTCCCAAACATGCTCGCCATTGGTAGGGGCCACAGGCCATGTCTCAATGGGTGGAACAACGTAGTAACTAAACCAAACAACAAAGAAAGTATATACAAGATTTAACCATGCCCTTTCCGTGGCGAGGCACTTCATCTAAGTGCCATGGGGGTAGAAGCCTCTAGCTTCTGTTCCTTGGGGGGAGATACGCTGCGCGCCAGCCTTTCTTGCTATGGCTTGATTGCATACGGTGTCTCCCATTTACCCTTTTTATTATAGTCAATTATTGTTGTATGTATATATATATATTTTTATTTATTTATTTATTTATTTATTTTTATGCCGTTGTGTTGTAACCTATGCGATTTGTCTTTTACACCTCCCAGGGGTCTCAATCCTCTCCGCTATTTACTCGCCTATCTTTTTCTTTTTTTTTTTTTGCTTTTATACTGTTGTGTTGTCTCCTATGCGATTAGTCTTTTACACCTCCCAGGGATCTCAATCCTCTCCGCTATTAACTCGCGTATCCCTTTTTTTTTTTTCTAAATATATATCTCCTTGTGCCCTGCTTTACTATTTCCACCTCCCCTGTTACATTTCGTACATGGAGTACCCCTGGTCCTATACAATCCCTCAATTGTTGGCTCCGACATATGACATA